CTGGGAGTTGAAGTCCACTCATCTTAAAGTGGCCAAGTTTGGACAACACTGCCCTAGTTGGACCGGGAAAGTTGAGACAGCTGAGTGTGCCTTTTCCAATGTCTGCCATACCAAAAGATATGTAATACTTTTATCTTTGTGATATTGTCAAGACTGCTAGATGGATTACAATCTCTCCGTAACCGAAAAAGTTTCTTCTTTTTGTGTGGGAGTTTATAAAATTTCTCAGGAGTTGAATAACGATATGTTTATCAGATTTTGTAAACGTTGAGATAGCATTTTATAGACTTTTGTACTTTATAATCTAGAGCTAAACTGATAGTGAATTTCCTGTTAGTTTGAGACATAGCTTCATGAAGCACCATTTTAAAAACATTTTTATTGTTTGTATATTATCACTCAGCTTAACATCAGCATTATAACTTTATTCATAGAATGTGAATGGTAGTGTTTCCTAATAGTATATCAGTAATATATTAATAATTTTATGCTTGAGTTACTGTTGAAAGGTTGGAATTTTTATATCCTTGCAGTTTTATGTTATCTTATGTTGGTCCATTCACTGAAATAAAGATCGTGGTGGTGGTGGTGGTAGTAATAATTAAGCAAAAATTAAGAAACATATTCTAATATCAAATTCTACATAGGCATAATTGTTGAATATGTATCTTGTTCTTCTTAATGTTTGTCCCACTTTGCTGCAGGATGTGTTTGCTTTGTCCTGCATTCGCCTAGTTTTTACAGTGAAGCTTATTAATGCATGATGCAATCAGAGGTTTCATTTTTCAGCTGGCTTGTTGCAAAGCCTGATGCTGAATAATTTGAATGCATATCATAATTAAAAAGTAGCATACATTGACTTAGATTATGAATAATGATTGAGTACCCAGTGGTACTTTCTTCATGGACAAACTGAAGTTTAAATTAAGTTAATGAAGTTTATTTGATAACTTTATGTATATTTAATAATTTACTCCTTTTCTTACATTAACAATTCTTCATGGACAAACTGAACCCAAAGGCCCATTTAGGTCAGGGGTGAACACATGTTTTAAACTGAGAAATGCATCTGTGCCTTGAATAAAATGCTGGGAGCTGCAGTCCTAATAATTGTGGGGTCAGGGAGAGAAAAAAAGTAAAATTTAATTTAATTTCTATGAGTGTTTAAATTAAATTAATGAAGTTTATTTGATAACTTTATGTATATTTAATAATTTACTCCTTTTCTTACATTAACAATTTGAGGAAGCTGCCAAGGACTGCATCCAATGTTTTTAGGAGCCACCTGTGGCAATGAGATCTCAGGATGTCTATGCCAGATCTAAATCAATTTCCCAAAAGAGACAGCATACAGTCTTTTGGAAGCCCACAAGAAAACACAAAAGCAACAGACCTCCACTTCAAGTTTCTGAACTGATGGCTCCTCTTTGCTATCATAGCTAACAGCTACAGAAAGAATGAAGTTCTATTCCTATAACTCAATGAAGAGATTCAGAAAATCTTTCAAATAATTTTCAACACATAATACATAATTTTATTAACAACTTTTGCACTTCATTTACCAGTTTCCTGAATATTCACCTAATCTCCTGAGATTATTTTAATCCACAGTTTTGGAGCAGCCTTAATAATTTTGGATTCGCTGCAATTGTAGCTCATTGATAACATCTATTTGGGATCATTTATAAACATTACATTTCACAGATATCATTGATACTATTCACAAAACATTACAGCTTGCTTCCTTCAGTCCTAAGGCCTCATAATTCTCCTTGTGATATATATGTTGTACTTTCTATCTGGCTATATGTGCATCTCTATCTCTTGCTTTTGATATGCTGTATACAAATATATACAGGATATCAGGATAAATAAAAAATATTTTAACAACCATAATGAATTTTCTACTCAGAATATTTCTGATAAAAAAGTAATCTCTAAGAACAACACTGTTAATTTGAAAAATAAATGGAATTTTAATAATTATATCCTTGTCATATTTTTCAAATTTCATTATTATTGTGCTAATTGTTCAAAGTTCAAATTATTCAGAGAGAACCAGTTTGATGTAGTGGTTAAGGCATCAGTTTGAAACCAGGAGACTGGGAGTTCTGGTCCCATCTAGGCACAAAGCCACCTGGGTGACCTTGAGCCAGTCACTTTTTCTCAGGAAGGAGGCAATGGCAAACCACTTCTGAAAAACCTTGCAAAGAAAACAGCAGGGAGTTGTCCAGGCAGGCTCCAATAATCAGACATGATTGAATGGATTAAAAAAAAAGTTCAAAAAAGGTACTTTCCTGTACTTTTAAATATGTCTGATCCACTGAAAACTTTAGTTTTTTAGTGTTTTGCAGCAGCAAGCATAACAGCTAACTAAAGGAACTTAATGTCCTTATATGCCTTAGGAAATACGTAAAATAAAAAAAAATCAGGATTCATAGTAGAAGACTATGGGTTATTTTTTCCTGTCAGTTCAAAAACTTGAGAAAAACAAATGACTGATTGGACATTACAACCAACTATGGTAAGAGACACCAATTTGTTTGCAACCCTGCCAGTACAATATAGAAAAGCTGCTATTTTATATAATGCAATTTAGTGAAATGGGATATCATCTATGGATTATTTTCATAGTCAATTCTTCATAAGAAAGACATTTGAAGAATTCTATGCCCCAAAGATTTTTGATCAGGTTAATTTCAAATCATCCTCTTATAGGGTTTTTAAATTTTATTTTATTTTCAGGAGAACCTCTTGTGCTTGATATGACTTTTATATAATACTGAAGGTATTATCTTTATTTTAAATTAATTAAATGTACACTATTCTTCATATGGTACTTTCAATAACTGATAAGTTCTGATACTCTTAGAAATGAGCTACTGAATTTGATCAATTTGAAACTAAGTAATAAGGATGATGATGTAACAGCAATTGTACCATACAATAAAAATATTTTATATTTACTGGGGACCCACTGTGGCATAGCAATTAAGACTCTTTGGGACTTGGAGTGGAAAAACACATGCTCAAGATCATCCAATGAAGATTAGAGCCCTATGTGGAAAAGAGGTGCCAGATGTTCAAGCTGGCTTTGGAAAAGGCCACGGAACAAGAGTAATTTTTGCTGGTGCACGTTTAATAACTGAAAAAGCCAAAGAATACCAAAAAGAAGTCAGTGTGTGCTTCACTGATTACTGAAAGGCCTTTAATTGTGTTGATCATGTCAGGCTGTGGAATGTGCTTAGAAAAATGGGAATCTCAAAACATCTCATTGCCCTCATGAGAAGCCTATATCCATGTGAAGAAGCCATAGTAGGGACAGAACATGGTGAAACAATCTGGCTCCACATTGGCAAAGCAGTGTGACAATGCTGTATACTGTCCCCTTATTTATTTAATCTATATGCCGAATATATATATTAAGGGAAGCTGAGTATGGCTTTATATTAGAAGAAAATGAGCATGGCTTTAAAATTGGAAGAAGAAATGTCAATAACCTGTGCTATGCTGATGATCTAGTAATAAAAGTCAGGGAGCATAGTGAAAAAATGGCACTAAATTAAATATAAAGGAGACCAAACTAATGACAACAGGTACAACAACCAGCCTAGAACTGTTAATGAAGATGTCAAAGTGGCAAGTGCTTTTTGCCTTTTAGGATCAACCATCAACAGTAAAGAAATGAGAAATCAAGAAATATGCTGCAGACTAGCCCTTGGTAGAGCAGTCATGAAGGCCTTGGAAAACCTATTCAGATGCTGTGATGTGTCTATACCTACAAAGATCAGAATAGCGCAAGCAATGATATTCCCTGAGGTACTCTATGGAAGCAAAAGTTGGACTTTGAAGAAGTAGAACTGGAAGAGTATTGATGCTTTTGAACCTTGGTATTAAAGAACACTTCTGAGAATACTGTGGAAAAGAAACAAATGGATCATCAAACAAATCAACCCAGAGTTCTTGCTAGAGGCACAAATGACCAGGCTCAAATAATCCTACATCGGACACGTTAAGCAAGGACCTAGCTCTAAGTGAAAAGAAAGAGAAGAAGAGGACAACCAGCAGCAAAGTGGATGGAGTCAGTCACAGTGGTGACAGGTGCACCATTGGAAGACCTGAAAGACCAGGTTAGGGACAGATCATCCTGGAGAAAAACTATCTATGTGGTTGCTAACAGTCAACATTGACTTGATGGTATATAATTAATCAATCAATCAATTTAGTAACATAATATATTTGAAGTACTATAGTACATTACAGTTAAGTTTAAAAGAATGGGTCAAGCACCTAACTCTAGATATTGGCAATGAAATAAGTCAGAGGCTGACACCAAGTATCTGTGCTAACTGTAAAGATACTGAAATACCATGAAAATATTTTAACAGTCATAAGTTATTGCTTTACATGAAGTTAATCATTTTACACTTTCTGCAGATTTCAGTTCAAAACTACATGAGACTTTTTTGATGCACTTTTATTTCTTAACTGAAAAATCATGAGAAAAGCAGGGGATGGTGCATTTTGAGAGAAAAGTGAGAAAGAATTTCTAATAACAAACATATATTGTCGCATTGAACTAAGCTGCACTGAACTCAATGAGATATACTGATTTAAAGAGTTTAAATTGCCCAGCATAGGATATAACACTAACCTGCAAATCTATATAAAACAACCCTACATTGACAGTGTAATTTAAGGTGCTTCTAAAATCCAATTTGGCCTACCCAGCTAGAGTATATGTGAAGGACAAGTTTATTCTCTGTTTTCCCGGATGTCCTGCTGGATTCTTCCCAAGTTCCCACCTCCAATGGCATCAGTAGGATAAAAATACATTATGCCATGTTCACAGTCTGATCTGAAGTCTTGTCAGGAGAATTGGAAGGCTCTGAATCCACCAGATCCATGATAATCTCTGATAATGCATATTAAAGTTTCAGCTGGCACACTAAAACCTTTTGCAACAAAGATGCCATTGTGTCTCTGCTGTCAGAGGGCAATTCATTGTGTGCTAGTGTGTGACAATGCAATACAGAAAAGAGTAAGAAGTATTACATTACAGATACTAATTTTTCATAAAAGTTTCATCACAGGATGACAACTAGGAAAAGCAGATTTTCAAAATATTGTTTAAACAGCAACAATTTGGAAATATACTATAAAAACAGAAACAGAAAATAATCAAGAGAAAATCAATCAAATATTGGAAAATTAGCCCTTAAAATTCTTCATTATACTTAGTGAATGAAACAATCTCAATTTTTATTATACTTTAAATAGCAGAAACAAAGACAGTATACGTTTTATTTCTGGTGTTTTGTTTAACATCAGTAACGCTGATACATAAAGGCAGAATTAATTAACATCATCTGTCAATCAACATCAATCAAGTATAAATCCTGAAGAACTGCTGCCATGGTCTTCTGATTCAGTTCAAATCAGAAGACCAAATCTGACAACAAGATTTAACCTTACTAAGTATACTTTTAGTTAGTACACTGGGTCTATAAATCACTTAATAAAAACATTTATCCATTACAACTCTTGTAACCTTTCAAGTCTTTTAGATTAACAACCACTTACTTTGAACGGCAGGGCAGAGTTGTAATTCTCTGGTATATCCCAACAGAGAAGTACTGATGTCTTCATTACCGCTTTGACATGAAAATTTTTTGCAAACACTGCTGGAAAAGGAAAAGTAATGTATTTAAAGTACATTTTGATTTTGGATCCCATCCCCTTTTCATCAGTAAACATATTCCATGATATTCCTACCTGTTTTTAGAAACCATATTCCATTCTTGCAAATTACAACTCAAAATAATTATATTTTCCTTACCTGCAATTATTAGGTAGAAGTGAGCCAGACTTGTCTGATATGGGATAACTGAATTCTAGTGAATCCAAAACACATGAAGATTTACATACTTTACCTCTGCATCAGATGAAACTACTTATATGATGGTTTTGAAAATTTTAAATATAGCTTCAAAAATATCGATATCCAAAGACTGAGATCCTTTAAAAGACAAGCCATAAGCAGACAAATCCTACCTTGATCCACAGGTAATGTCCTAAACTGGATACTGGGACTATATGGACCGGGCCCTTTGCTTGTATGTGCACGTATTTTTACATCATATGTGGTATCTGGTTTTAAGCCTGAAAGTGTCATAATAGTATCAAGAGGAACAACAGGGATCTCTGTTTGTTGATGTGCCACATTGATATCTCTGTACTGTAGAGTGTATTTGGTGATAATACCGTTTCTCTCGGATAAAATGGGTGGTTGCCAAGTTAGTTGGATGGACGTTGAGGTGGCACTTTCTGAATGTAGATTTTGAGGAAATCCACTTGGTAGATCTTCTGGAATCAAAATTTCTTTTACCATCTCTTCCCCAAAGCCCACTTTATTTCTAGCTGAAAGCCTGAAGATGTAAGAAGTCCCTTTATGAATATCAGTAGCCGTGTAGTGGTCATCTTTATCAGTAAAATCCCGTGTCGTAAATGCATCCATGTCTTTGCGGCCAAACCTCAGGCGGTACCCTTGCAGGGGGCCATATGTATCAACAGGTGGGTGCCACTGAATTAGAGCTGTACTCATTTGTGTGTGGCTAATTACAAGCCGGGGTTTTCCTGGAACTGTAACATAACATTATTTTAGCACAGAATGCACCTGCAATAACTTTTTCTAAAATTGCTTATAAGGTCTCTAAAAATTACTTATGCAACAGATATACCATTTCTCCACTCCACCCCCATCATCAAATATTAATTCAGACCATGCAACATACTGGGCACTGCATTATCTTTCTTAATTTCCCTTCTTCTAGTTCTTAAAAACAGAGAAAGCAAGCAGGCAATGATCCCTGTTGACATGAAACCAAACAATATATAATTGTGCATCTGTATATTTTAGGTTTGTGAACTTCTCTTTCAAACGATTAATGGAATCAAACAGAATACATTCCAGAGGATGTATTTATATATTGGGAAGAACAAAAAATTTGAATATAAAAGGAATTCTGGTCTGTGACCGTAATAAAGATGATGATGATGATGAATATAAAAGGTCTCCGAGTCAATTTTCATCATCTTAAAAAATGTGGTTTGAAAAGAACTGCTGTCTGCATAACTCTGGTAGTTTAAATCCAACCACAGGTAGACATAATAGAAGGCATCTTCCACGGTTTTCAGGGTACCTTTATATGACGACTTTTAAACTCGTTATTTCATTCTTTTATTTAAATAAATTAATATACCAGGTTTAATATCCTAATTTGATCTTGATTCTCATATCCTTGTTCTGGTGTTGAAATTACAGAAAAGGTTAGTTTAAAAAGCAAAAGAATTTCATCCAAAATGGGGATTGAATGGAGAGTAAAAAAGGAACAAGAAGAGAACAATGGGCCTAATAAAATACATAATTTCACTAACTGATGTTCCGATAATGAACCAGAAGCTCACTCTGCTGAATCAAGAGATACAACTTCAGGTTGCAAACACGAAAATTCTGCCATTAAAAAAATAAAATAAAATAAAAATAAAAATCAGGAACTTGCACACACAAAAAGCTAACATAAACACATAGGAACTTTTAGCTTAATTTTTATGTCTGATTTAAGAAATAAATTTTAAAATTATAGCTATTTGACTTATGAAAGTTTCAAACATAAAAGCTACAAACTACAGCTATCAGAAAAATGAAAACAAAGTCGAGATGTTCCTAAGAAAATTATTCTTGGAAGCGCATAAAATGAAGTCAACTGAAATCACTACATCATGTATTATTCTAAGAAATCATACTGTCCACAGAAGAATAATTACTCCTTTCTAATATACAAAATTAATATAAAACTAAAGATTTTCCCACTAGACAACATTTGATAATTAACTGCCCATGAGATCTGCACGCAGGCAAAACCCAGAAGAAAGGTAAATGATAATGAATGCATACATGGCAGATTGAGAACTGAAAGGACACTGTGCATTATAGGAAAAGTAAAAGCAACATGGTAAGCCTGAAGCCAGTAGTTGCATTGTTTTGAAAGTACAATTAAATCAAAACATTAATTAGCCTTAATTATTACATGCTGTCCTAGATCCAAATGTCCATGAATATAGTTCTCCATTTGCCTGGTGCCCCTTTTGTCTTCAGTCCTATTTGTGGTCCTGCAGTCTCGTTAAGGTTTTCCCTTCATTCTGCAGACATTTTTTATTTCCATTTTATGGATACAGTTTGCCAATTTTTTTATGGATTGGGTGAGATAAAACAGCTCTCACATATGTTCCTGTGTCCAATGATTAATAATGTCAATTTAGAAATGACATATTTCTCTATCTCTTCTTTCTATCTCTGTCTTTATCTTTTCCTCCCTACACTTTCCAGACTCTACATTTTATTCTCAATCTCTCTGTGTTATATTTCATGCCATGGTGAATTTCACACATTGTGCTGGACCCTGTGGTTTGATTTTTTTTTTAGTGTAACATATTTGAACTAGGCAAACATGGTTTGTTCAACAAATTGTAATTAAAAGAACCCTGACTTAGTAATATGTGTGAACCATTGAGACATATGGATATCATTTGGGGGCTTCCTAATTGGGGGTTTGCTAATACTTGTTTCTTATGCTTGGTCATGACATTCTTATTTCCATGAGAAGTCCATGAGACGACTTGCATTGGTAATAGAAAGAAAGATGGCTTTTTAACAATCCTAGGTACTATCACATGTTTTTAATATATAGTACATGAATTCTATGCCTTATAGCTCTTTTACACTATTCCTCATGGCTATACCATATTCTTGAACAAATACAAAGCTGTTTTCTCTTTACTTTACAATGTATAAAATATATCTTCCTGCTAGTCCTGACTTTGACCTACTGCTACATAAGAAGAGTAAGGCTACAAAAAAGTGATTGGTTTTGCCTGTTAAGTTAAGACTTACTATTACTTCTATGTGGTGGAAATAATACACTGGAGAACACTGCATGTAATAAAATAAAAATAAGTCTTATTAAGGATTATTTAATTTAGTCCAACATTCTGTTGAAAACTATGGCTTCAAGTTTTCCTGCTCAGACTCCATAAATAAGAGTTATGGAACTCTTTCCTGCTTACACTCCATAAATAATAGTTATGAAAAAGCACAACCATTGTAGTTTTGTTTTAAATATAGAAAATGTATCAATTAATTAATTACAAGAAGATAAACAATTTATTGTTGCTAAGAATGTCTCCTCAATTGCAATGGGCACAATATCCATCCATCCATCCATCCATCCATCCATCCATCCATCCATCCATTCATCCCTCCCTCCCTCCCTCCCTCCCACACACCATAGAAGTTTCTTCTGCACAAACATTTAATTCTTTCCCTCTTTTTTTTTCATTTTATTATCCAAACAGACATACTATCAATTCATATTTGGTTCTGGCCATAGTTAGAGATACATAAAGTATATTAATTAAGACAAGAGATAAAATTGAAAAAAAATCATTGAGACATTTTAAATTGGAAAAAAAAAAGAACAATCAGTTTAATTTATCTGAGTTTTTAACATTCCATATTTTTAATGTATCTATACAGCATAGGGGGGTGTATCTCTTCAAGTGAAACAGAGAGATTTTTCAAAAAGTCTGTAATATGCCTGATGGGTCCGATTATCTATTTCCCCCAAAACGTTGCCTGGGCAAACTCCTGGATGCATCTAAACTCTTGAAGAAGTCAGGCATGGAAAAATCACAATGAAAATCAACAATGCTTTAATGTACATAATCAGCTAACAACATTTTAGCACCTCAAATCAGAAATGATTAAAGCAGTCAATATTGGTTTTAAGGCTTCATAATGGAAAGGATCATCAAATAGTACCTGCACCAGTAGTAGATACTAATCTAGGTTTGCTCCGTGCTCCATCTCCTTTGGTTGTATAGGCTGTCACAGTTAGGGAATATGTTGTCTCTGGCTGTAATCCAGCTATGATCATCTCCTAAAATGATATAATAAAAAACATGGTACATTAATACATGGAATAGAGACCTGTCACAAAATTTTCATTTTGCCATGAGTTGTGATAACTTGCATTCAGTGCATACAGCTTTCATGCTATCTGCAGAGATGGCAAGCTTTTAGGGGTATCAGAAGAGGATACTAGTGGATAAGATTTGCATTAAGCCAGAAGCATGATGACTTTTCTGAGCAGCATGCCCTAAATGTTTTTATAAATCATAAGGCTAAGCACTGCATATCCTTTAAGGATACATCACAACACATGTTCTTACTATTCGGTTTTATTATTGTAGAATGGGTGTATTTGGAATACAAAAATAAAATCAAAAGCAGCTTGACCCAATGACTGTTTTAGCCACTATTTACAGAGCAATCATATTGCTAACTCTACACAAGGATTATCTATATTCTAAATTTCAGAACTGTTTTATGTATAGATCAGGGGGGCAACCTTAAGGTCCTAGACCACAAATGGCCTTGAACTCCTTTATTTTAATCACTGGAGAACTTTCTGACTTCTGTTGCCAAAATCAGTGGCATCTTTTCATGCCATTTTGAGACGGTGAATATATGACAGATGTAACTTAAGCCTGGAAACATTTTTGCTATAATAATGATAATGATAATAATAACCTAGAGTTACTTCCTAAAATATAGATTAAAAAAAGAGAATCATGGACCTGCCTATATATGCTATTATCAACTTGCCCAGTCTGTTTCTTGTCCTCCAAGAAACTGTCGTATGGCATTTTTCAATACCAAAAAGTTGTCTACCCTGTCAGCCCCTTGAGATAGATCAGACTAGGAAACCAAAGTTATGAATACTAATACTACTTTTATTATAGGATTATTGTAACAGAATCTTGCAATTCTAAATGTGCATCCCCGCTTCCTGCTTATCTACAGGAGAACTAGGGAAGATCAAGTCTGAGACATTTTTTCAAATTACATTTCTGCTTTGGACTCAGATTTCATTCATGTGACCACTGTCTTGGTTGCAGCTCTTCCTCCTGTTCATCAAAGGTATTCTCACTGCCCATTACATCACTTAATAAAATTTATGAAACCTATGATTCCATGCACAGTTCCTAGGAATCAACTTCACTGATCTAATAAATAGGGTTCGATTATGCTGTAGTTCAGTAATTCTGTAGACTGAAATCAAAGGCGTTCACTTCTCAGTGAATTCAATTAGAATCACCCTTTAAAATCTGCAGTGGCACACATACTTATTTGAAAGTAGTAAACATGCATAGGACTGTGCTTCAAAAATTTGTTCCAGAATGAACTTGCATTAAAACACTGCTTGTAAAGTAAATAATATAATTTAATTTATTATTAATTTAATCTATTATTTGAAATCTAAAATATCCATTAAAGATAATTTGAATATTTGGTCTGGAACAATAAATTATGGAAAATGCATTAAGCCCTATATGGATATCCAATAGGAAATTCAATAGGATTTACCCCAGGTAAGTGAGAATAAACTTGTAGCTTTTAAAATATTTTAAAAGGGGATGAAGATTAAAACATATTTGCAACTGATTATATACTAGAAAAAACTGATAATTTGTTTTATACATTGAAACTAATATTCAGAATGATACAAAGGGCTTGAGCTAGCAAAAACAAATCCTACTAAAGTTCCACTATTTTTACATGCTTAATATGAACCACAATTCCACTGATCTAAAACAATTTATATTTGGTTGGATCATGTCTCAGCCTTAAAATGTGTATGCTTATATGTATTTGTGCGTGCACATTAATTTTAATTTCCAATGTAGTATAACTCAGTTTTTCATAATCAAACAAATTTTCCACTAGTTTCTACTTCTAAATATGAAAAAAAAGTAGAAGAACTATAAACACTGGCAATTGTGTTCTTTTTTAGGAAATATATAAATGAATAGCTGTAGAAACTAAAAATATAAAGAATAAATAACAAGCATAAATATTTTAAAATGAGTGATGATGCATTCAGAACATCCATGTGTGGAAAATGGTGATATGGGTTTTGCCTCTTCCCCATTTAAGATACACAGATATACAGTTGGCTGTAATAAGTATGGGACACCATACTTTCCACCCACCTGTCCTTTTTAACAGTGCAAATTATTCATGCTCTGAAGCATACAAAACATGCACTGTAGAGAGAGATGGCTGTGCAGAATAAATGGGAAATTCACACTGGCCTCCTTTTCTTCCTAATAGTCAGCTGTATTTCTCATGCTCAAAAAATAAGACTTTATTAAGCTCCCTAGGAATCTTTCATATGCAAATACTGAATTTCAAATAAAAAAAAATTAATTGGTGGGTTCAAAATAGACTGTTAAATATATATGAGAAAGATAAGTTAATACATTCTTAACAATGGGTATGACTATTCAATATAAAATACTTTCCATAAGTACCTAGCATTCAAAACCAACAGTTGAATAATGTCTTTCTTTGGATCAACTATAATGATTCAAAGGAATGTGTGCAAGCTTCTGAATTGTCACACAACCAATAGCACTATCATATGGAAATTTATCCACACAACATTTTGAGAAAGACTGATTTTTTCCCCCTAAAATATCTTAATTTCAAATTTACATACAGTATATGTGGTAGCCATATGAAGTGATAATGGCAACATGTTGATTTCATAATTTTGTTCTTCCACTAGTTTAAGAGTGAATAAAAACTTCTTTTGTTTTTCTTCATTTAAATTATTGCTGTGTTGTGATAAATTATGGGCCAAGGAGTCATCTCTATCTTTAACCAAAAGTGTACACCTTCTCAATATCTGAAGAGTAGTCAAAAACTGCTAAGAGTTTTCATATGAGTATGAAAGAGTTACATAAGAGAATGTACCAGAAAAGGTAAAACAGGAACAAAATTATCTGGGGTTGCTAATTTTGTTAAAAGTTCTTTCTCATGATTTATAGTCTTTTACAATGACTGAATTCATGCAGTTAAAAATCATAAAGGATGTGGTGAAACAACCTTTTGGAGATCAAGTGGATTCTTTAGATCAGAAAATTTCAGAATTTCACAGTGAAAAAAAAACATGAAAAAACAGAATCACCTAGCTTGAGAATTCTGATAAGCAATGTGCCATATATATTGAAACAACACTGAAAGCAGATAAATACATTCGAAAGAAAGTGACCAATTTATGGGGCATAGTTTGTAAAACTAATATATGTTTTTAAAATTTTCCTTAAAACATTGAGCAAGGTAAGCTATATGTTTCTTTAGAGGATACAGTAATAGATAAATGAAATATTTTCACTAGAGCTAGAATACAAGCTGGAAATTGAAGTAGCTGATTGTACTGGATTCTATTTCCATTCAGTAACTCATGATTATCATATGATAAGGACAGTTTTAACCTTTCTGACTTTATCATTGGGTACATGTTTTGAAGAAGAGTATCAATAAAGAAGGAACTCTTTAAATAGAGATGAAAATATCTCATCCAATGACGATGCTACTAACAATCTCAACTGTAAAAAAGTTGGCACTGGGCAAGGACCAATGTATATTTTCACAAAGATGCATTGTGAAATATACATTTATGTATATAATACAAATATATATTTAACTTGGCATTTCATCAGCTGAAATGGACATCAGGTTAGAAACTAAAAGAAAGGATTTGTTTGACAGTAAATACAGAATACAAAGGGCCTGAAAAAGGCTGAGTTAAGCAAATGACAATGATAACTGCTTTCTCTGAAAAAAACATTTTGGGTAAACTGTTTGCAAGATCAAGTTAGGTAATTATACAAATTCAACAAACTTAGGGAGCAAAAGCATTGCATCAAATCAAAAGAAAGTTGGGGGAAAGGTGTTAATCCATGCATATGTGCAAGCAACCAAAAATTAAATGTTAAAGCCACCATACTTTTTTAGGGTTTTTTTGGGGGGGCAATCCATTTTACTCACATGTTCAGTAGTATCATCATATTCCCACTGATTGAGAGTAAAGAATGTTGGGAAGAAAAACAGAAGAAATAAGGAGAGATTTGTAGGCTAGCTGAAGCATCTTTATCCTTCTCAGGATAACAACACATGAAAACTAACTAGCAAAATCAGCCTGAATTTAGAAAGAACTATGAATTTGCAGTTTCTCATTTGATGCCAAAATGGTACATGAATAGCGGATGATATTTCTGAAAAAATATAAATCCTAGTTTGGAGTGTTGTTAGTTTATAGCAATGTTTTACGACCGCATTAATTCAAACTGTTGAGATATAATGAAAGGCTACATTTTAGTTAATCACATGCTACTAAGCCATATTCATTTCTATTTTACCTTGTCAAATTTAATTCAGTGCACCTGTTTAGATTAATAGAGCCAATTTATATGTACTTGATACTTCATATCAGTAATGGAACCATATGACCAACAGCACACTCTGCTCCTTCTATAATTAAAGAAAAAAGAAAAAAGGAATTTGAATTACAGCCATAAAGGGCTGCATATTTTTCCAAGTGGGAAAATCTGTTCAAAGAACAGAGGTACAATATAATCATATTGTTCTCTTTCTAATCCCTGGAGATTCACAATGATACAAAGGCATTAACAAGTTGTTCTAAATGTGCTAAAACATTGATATGAATAAGACTTGCACATATGTTAATCATTTAATACAGAGATATTCAGAATAGGAGGGTGTTAAATCATTACAGAAAAAAAAACGGTATTGTTTTCAGTAAAGTCAAGTTTATGGAATTGGAGTTTAATATATTACAGATGCCATAAAGTTTTTCTATTTAAACAATTTAGTTCAACTCTAATTCTGTTTAGGATATAATATATGATGGTTACATACTGCTACATTTCAAAACAGAGTTAACCATAAATGAAAAAAAGCTTTATGTACTTCATTGTTTAAGATACCATCAGAATGATTTCACTCCCCAAACCTCATAAAACACATTCATGTAATTAAAAATCACTATTTTTACATCTTACTTAATATGGACAAACTTGCCATACAGAAAAATAGATACTGTATGATCTGTTATATTTTGTAAGAAAGAATATAGTGTAGTTTAATTTTATCAATATATCATTCTAAGCTTTTCTTTAATAAAAACAAAGCATCTCATGTATTATTAGAACAACTATTCATTTCAAACACAGCTCTATCTATTTCAAATTTATCACTGAGTTCTAATATATTATTATCAAACCTTAGCTCATTTGCATATATTACATATTATCCAACCAAATTGATGTAATTCAGTGCAGAAATTTAAGTGTACCATAAACCTCATTGATATACTAATACAGTTTAAAATACTTAACATTACCTGGATCATATCCACTGAGATAGAAATATAAATATGGAACAGAACCTGTACCCAAATCAAAATGAACTAAAAACCAACTACAGGTAGTCCCTGGGTTAAGAACACCCAGTTTATTGATGACCATAGTTAAAAATGGAGGCTACTGTAGCAAGATTCAAGTTAAATACACAATGATTCAAGTTTAGTACACAATGGTTTGAGTTAATTAAATAATACTATTTATATAATATTATACAATAATACTGCTCCAGCTAAGGATATACCTTGGGAACGGAACTCGTTCTTAAACTGGGGACTACCTGTAAAGTATTCCTCAAGCATATATGAAGAATACATTAAATGTGAAATAATGGCAACATACTAATATGTGGTTTAGCAAGTATATAATATTATACTGTTCTGATAATTATAAACATCAACTGTGGAAGAACAAGGGAGGTTCCACTCTGCATGATGAGGAAAATTTATTTTGACTTAAAAGCACCCCAGGTATGCTTTCCCTCCCATTACAGCCATAGATCCATGTCTAGAAATATGATTCATGCAAAGAATGGTATCGTAACCTGATTATCTGGTTTTAGATCTGAAGCATTTGGAATTCTTTTAGCAATAATATACTGAAATAGAAGGAAACATTCAAGCTAGCAATTAAAAAAAAAAAGATACGGTTATTCTATGAATAACTTGCTTTTCTTATTATCCAAAGAAATTGAATATAATTAATTACCTGTGCATCAGCCAACATGATATCCTTCAGCATGGGTTGGCCCCTAGGCTCTCCATTTTCCATCTTCACATAGTGCACCTGGTAACCTCGGATTTGGCCATGCTGTTTATTGGGCACTGGAGAACGCCATGACACTTTAACAGATGTAGAGTTGACAGCCTCAACCTCGACTTTGCGAGGAGGACCACTAGGAACTGGAACATATCAGTGGATAAAAGAATTACAGGCACTTGTCCCAAATAATCAGCGTCTTTTTTTTTCCTTTCTTTTCTTTTTAAAAGGAGACCCCATAAGCCTTCCTTGAAGAATACAAATGAAAACACTCAACAAAACTGTTCTACATTTCAGTGAAAAGATCAAAAAACATGACTGATGCAAAAATGGAAGAAAAAAGAGTATTAGAGAAATAGAAAAACATGTAAAAATGTACAAAAGCCAAGGAAGATGCTTTGAAACTCAAAGCATTAAAGTACAAAGAAGTATTTTAGTAATCAAAATAATACAAAACCTAAAAGACTTTTAAAATGCTTGCATTATTATTATTATTATTATTATTATTATTATTATTATTATTATTATTTCTTCAACAGGGGAAAAAGGAAATAGCAACAGGGAAGTTATCTTCAAGGTTCAAATATGAAAAAAACAGCTTCCAAAATATTTTAAAAATTGAGAAGCATCAGTTTCCCCAAAGATATAAATACTTTAGAATATGTGCAAAGACAGAATTAAAATCAGAAGATTAAAAAAATAATAATAAAAGAAGGGGAAAACATCTAAAAAAATGTCCATTTTTTGTAAAGAAGAAAGTATGTCATGCACACAAGGGAGAGCACTTTAAAGAGTTCCTTATTTTGTTCATAAAATTTCTATGTTTGCTTTTTGCTGTTGTTGTTTTAAAAACACAGAAGCAGGCAAAGACATATTGGATTTAAAATATCCGTTGAAATTGTTCTGGGGGAAAAAGATGAGCAAGGAAGGGAAGGAATACTTAGATCATACAGAGACAGCAGATTGAGAGAAAGAGTCAAACGGATGTGTTGGAAGAAACATACCATCTTCATCTGTCCGAATAAATACAGATTCACTCTCTGGGCCAGGTCCGACATCAGTGTGGGCTGCCACAGATATGCGATATTCAGTCCATTTTTCCAACTGTTCCAAAAGGTACTGTGTAGTATCCGGAGTAATTCCCAAAATTTCATGGGGCTTGTCATCTTCTCCATCAGTTCCAGTGTACTTGATGGAATAGGAAGTGATAATTCCATTTTGTTTTTCCAATGGAGGAGGTTGCCAACTTACCAAAATACTAGTGGAGCTGGGGCTGTTGCAACTAATGTCTTGAGGAGGAGCTGATGGCTCTAATTTCAGTAGTGGGTTAAAGGAGGATTTGAGTGAAAGGACAGAAGTGGTTGAAGAAAAAATGAACAAAAAGAAAGAAAAATAAATAATAAAGGGCAAACCAAGGAAAAACAAAAATTAAATTCAGAAACAAAGTATTTAGACAGTCTTATGAGCCTTGGCTTATTAACATGAAACAACTGAAAATGAATTAACTAAAAAGTGGAAAAGGATGTTGGGGGAAATACATGAAAATGAGCCTCAATATATTGTTACCTACCTGTGATTAATCATTCTTCTTGAAATAAAAACATCAAACATGATACTTCTATGTATATATACACCTATAATATTACTTATCTTATGTGTTTACTAGTTTGTCTGTCTGTCTTCTATTTTAAATTATACCAGCTTTCAGCACTCTTACACATTGGCCAGTCTTTCCTGCACTAAGTGCTAGGAAAATTAATATCTATTCAATCCATTTTGAAAAATCAACATAGAAATATTTGTATTTTTCCATTTCCCTCTTTTCTACCTACTCTACATTTTAAATTAAAATAAATATTTATACATCACCAGTTGTAGCCAATAAAATGTAAAACATGCAGAATCAGAAAGGAGTTTTCATTTGTCTTAGTCAAAGATTTACCTACCATGAAAAAGTGACATGGCTGTTGGCTCTGACTGTAACTTGTACTTACCATAAATGAAGAGACTGTTTAATATTTTAGCTCCTCTTGGAAAAACCTTGGCTAGCAAAGAATTGAAATCTACTAGCGATTTTACAATACATACACCACCCACTCACCCCACACAATACAGAGTTACTAAAATATAAAAAGTTGATTGGTTAAAAAAGACAAAATAATTCAACTAAATACACTTAACTAAGCATTCATCCCTTATACCCAAGAACCCAAGTGACTATTTTTAAAACAGATAAGTTTAAAATAGAATTTTAGTTTATTAGTGGAAAATTATTATTAAAGACCATAGCAAAGCCTTTATCAGATTTATTTACATCCATTCTTATACATCACATAAAATTTGAAACTGATTCCTGACCCCCAACTCTCAACATATGCCTTAGAAGTCCCACTGCTTTCTGTGTGGACACCCCAACTCTGTTATTTTTAAAAAATTCTTTTTCTGGATGACAACAAAGTAGAAATAGTTATTTGATGAAAATTCATTATATTGACCTGGTAATTTGTAAACAAATTGTTCTGTGAAATGTGTGCCCCCTTAACTTTGTTTCTTCAAATCATATTGCCAATGTTTCAGCACAGTGAACAAAATGGAATTTATTTATTTATTATTAAAGCTTTGGAGCTACTTTTGTATGAAGCATATTTGTTCTTTGTTTTGGCGAGAGGTTTAGATGGAAGAGAATGAGAGTTTTCCAAGTTTGAACTAACATTGCATCAGATGGCACGCTAGAGGGATATTAAATACTGTGTTATGAAATAAAATGATCCACTAGAGAACTGATATACCTACCTTGAAAAACTATTTTTCTATAGATATTTATTATTGTTTCCAATGAGTGACAAAGAATGTGCTTTTTCACAGTGGCAGCCATTTTAAATTTCCTAAAGGATCTCAGAATGAGCTTTCTAAAGGAAAAAAAGTAGTGACTACTCCAAAAAACACTCTTAGAATAGCATTTTGCCAAAGTAGATCTCTCTCAGAATAATAAAAAAAGTATCACTGATACAGTATATTTTTCTTTAGTCCTGCAGCTTCCAGTGGAACTTCCTGCTCGGAATCTATGGAGTAAATCTGAGATTGGCAGCATATATTGTGGTGAACAAGAGGAAGGTGAGGTGCCCTTATTGTGCATGCTTAGAGTTCTCTGAAATGTAGTATCCATATCTCCTGTGCTTGTTAACTAGAATAAGTATAAGGGAAATTAAGTAATAAAGGAGAGGCACCTACTTGACTGCATTGTTCTAGCTGAAATTTCTGTTGTTGATGCACCAAGGCCTTGTGGAGAGCGTGCAGCCAAACGAAAGTAGTACAAGCTATTTGGTTTTAGGCCTTGTAAGTGGTAAGATGTAGCTGGATCAATAGAAATTCTCTGCTGAATGATAAATAATAAAGGGAGAATGGGTTAATACTAATTTGTGCTTGTGAACAACATTTTTCTAATATTCAACCATAAAATTAAGTATCTTGCAACTAAACATTCTGAAACTACTATGTGTAGCTACAACTCCATGACTTAACTATATTACCTGCTAGGCACTTACTGCACTGAGACCAACCCTGACAAAACTGCACACGAATGGCAGTAACTGGTACCAGCTTGGACACACTGCATATGACAATCTACAGTACATAATGAAAAAATCATATATGAAGCTATCATTACATTTCTTCCATCAACAATGTATGTAAATGGAAATCTCTTTCAACTAAGTCTAAGTTGTAATTAAGATGAAGAAAAAGATTCTTCAAAACCACTGCTCTGTTTCAAAACTTACTATGAGTCACAGCTTGCTGTATAAATCACACAAATGAAAATAGTTATTAGAAGTAAATTGATTTTATTTATCCAAAAAAAAAAAATCCCTCTCATCCCTATGAGTAGTTATGTCTTCCTCAATCTCGGGTCCTCTACCAGAGGCCTGGGAGTTTGAGGGTTCTGCGCAGTATCTTAGCTGTTCCTAGCTGTCCTCTTCTGGCAGAGAGCTCTGATGTTGTTCCTGGGATCTGCTGGAGCCATTCTCCCAGCTTAGGAGTCAC